AGGGGTCCAAGATTATCTTCTGTGTCTGTGTTAATTGGTTTCCCTTTTCTTTGTTGAAGAGGGTCTGTGCAATCCTTCTGCCTAGTCCGCCATCTTAAATCAATCTCTAAATCTTAGTAGTTTTGAGAAATATATTTACCATGTAGCACAGTAACTATCAAGAAAAATATATCATAATAGGATTGAAATCTAATTAGCTGCTTATAATGTTCAGTTATCGACGGCACATAACAACAACAAAAAACAACAACAATGTTCAGTAAGCATATACAGTGTTTGGTATGTGCTCTAAGCACTTAGCACATTGAGTCGCAAACAGCTAGCCTGCTTTTTTAAGTTCCTGTTCTTCAAAAACAAAAATCATTTTTTTTTCCTCATTATCATCTAAATCCTAAAGTAAAATGACTCGTTTCTAATTTGGCATCATTGAATCATGCAAAATGAGTGTACTAACTAGAAGTTTCCTATATTATATATATATAATTTTACCCTTTTTGGTACTTAGTTTTCAGAGGGCTCTTGAGAAAAACACTGAAGTTGCTGAATACCATTACCAACTTGGCTTAACATATTGGTGCATGGGTGAAGAAACAAGAAAAGATAAAACAAAGGCTTTTACTCATTTTCTGAAGGTAAAAACAAGGGGTAATACTCCCTTCTTAGTTGAAGCAGATCCATTATAAAATCATGAAAGGTATATAAAATTACCCTTTAGTGAACTGTTTTATTATACTTCATCTTTCACGCACAGTTTCGTGAAAATGCTTTGTGGGCTTTCTAGAAGCATATTAAACTATAAGTATCTAAAGTTTACTTTAATGTTTAAGCAATACAGGTTACAGCAAACTTAGCAGAATTAACTCTAGAAGACAATACTATTTTTAAGGAATTTCCACTGTATTTGGGCATATGAGTTTTACTTAGCTCTAGATGTTTAACTTCTTGGTTTTGTTTAATATCTACAAGTTTTACATTCTCTTGGTTCATAAAAGCAGATGAATGTAACAATGGCTCCAGTTTCACATTTCTTTTAACAAAAAAGTATTTTTTACATTTGTATTTGCTTTCTGTAAGCATGGCAGGCCAACATTTATTTTTATTTTAAATCTTATAAAATGTTTTGACATTTTTTTGTATATTTCATGAAGTTACTCCTTTTTTTTTTCTTTCTTTCATCTCTACATGAGCCTTTTATGTTTTTAAAGAAACTTATCCAAATGAACTCTTATATTTTGTTACTATCAATATTTCTTTCCAAGGCTGCAAAACTGGATACATACATGGGCAAAGTTTTCTGCTATTTAGGTCATTATTACAGAGATGTAGTGGGAGATAAAACCAGAGCCCGTGGGTGTTACAGGAAAGCTTTTGAATTAGACGACACTGATGCTGAATCGGGAGCTGCAGCAGTTGACCTAAGTGTGGAACTTGAAGAAATGGTATGTTTAATAACTTAAATATTTTAGCCTTTTTTTTTTAATCCTGACTATATAAATAGAAAAATTTATGTGTTTGTATGTCTTTGTACATATCTCAAAAGTTGTAAAAATATATCTGTATTTTATGTATGTATTCTGCATTTTTTTGACAATATTTGATATCTCTGATATTTATCTCTTACTGTTAGGAAACTGCCTTAGCTATCCTAACCACAGTAACTCAAAAGGCGAGTGCTGGAACAGCAAAATGGGCCTGGCTTAGGCGAGGACTATACTATTTGAAAGCAGGTCAACATTCTCAAGCAGTGGCTGAGTAAGGCACTTTATTATTTTATGTACATATATATATATATAATTGATTATATCAATTTAGTCATTTCATTTGAACTGCATTTTAGGGTAAACAAAATATATTTGCATTGAGAATAAAGTAGTTTCAGACTTACGTAGAGTACAAGTATTTTTAATTTTTCCATGAGAATGAAATTTGACCAGAAATTTAAAGCATGCCTGGTAAGTCCTATTTTTCAACTATAGTATTCCTGTTTGATGAAAGAGGGTTGGTGGTGAGGGTTTACAGACTATCATGAGGCAAACTGAAATATATACAACTGTTCTGATGGGATAGAAAATTAGATCAAGTTAGATAATCAAGGAAAAGAATATCCTGCTCAGTACTTTCTGCAAAAATATTTGTTCTTATTTGTTCTAAAGTGGCAATGAAATTTCTTAGTATTAAAAAAATACAAACCATAAGGAAGAAGTATAGTTGTTCTTAATAGTACTTTTATAAATTAAAGGAGCCATGAATATATGTGATTTAGTTGAATTATCTTTTTTAAGTTGGCCTTTCAGATACAGAAGCAGTTCTGTAACTTTTAGTTCTCTTACTTTTTCTTGAAATCTTAGTTTACAGGCAGCATTAAGGGCAGACCCAAAGGACTTCAATTGTTGGGAATCATTAGGAGAGGCATACTTAAGCAGAGGTGGCTATATGACAGCTTTGAAATCCTTCATCAAAGCCAGTGAGCTGAATCCAGAATCCATATACAGTGTGTTTAAAGTTGCATCAATACAGCAAATCCTAGGCAAATATAAGGAGGCTGTAGCTCAGTACCAGCTGATCATTAAAAAGAATGAAGATTATGTTCCTGCTTTGAAAGGTAATTTACTTTTTATCACTCCTTTGTCTTTTGTATTAAAATATAAAATCCTTGAGCAGATTTCCTAAAAACATTGAGTAACTTGAAAATGACTTCTTCAGTCAACAAGAAATGTTCATCATCAATCTGTTGTAATATAGCTTGTTATACAAATTTGAATATAATATCAAATTTTATTTTGCAACAGTTAATAAATAGTAATATAATACAGATTTAACCTAGAGGGGCAACGTTATAGCTATTGGATCTAAAAAAATGGATCTTTAAAGCAGAGGTTCCTCTACTATCTCTTACATTTTGGTTAATTCATTGTATCCCTAAAATATCTTGTTATAGCTGTTAGGTGCCATAGAATAGGTTCTAACTCATAGTGACCCTCTGTACAACAGAACAAAACACTGTCCAGTCCTGCACCATCCTCACAATCTTTGCTGTGTTTAAGCCCATTGTTAAAGCCACTGTGTCAATCTATCTCATTCAGAATCTTCTCCTTTTTTTTGCTGACCCTCTGCCTTACCACGGGAGCTCTGGTAGCATAGTGGCTAAGATACTTGCCTGCTAACCAGACGGCTGGCGGTTCAAACCCACCAGCCACTCCTCGGAAGGAAGGTTGGGCAATCCTACTTCCGTAGTGATACTGCCTCGGAAACCCAAGGAGGTGTCGCTATGAGTCAGGACCGACTCAACGGCACATAACAGCAACAACAACAACTGCCTTACCACGCATTATGTCCTTCTCCAGGGACTGGTTCCTCCTGATAGCATGACCAAAGTATGTGAGACAAAGTCTGGCCTCCTTGCTTCTAAGGAGCAGTCTGGTTATACTTCTACCAAGAGTGTTTTGTTTGTTCTTCTGGCACTCCATGGTATATTCAACATTATTCAACAATACCATAATTCAGGTGCATCAGTTCTTCTTCAGACTTCCTTATTCATTGTCCTGCTTTTGCTTGCATTTGAGGTGATTGAAATTACCATGAATTGAATAAGAAGCACCTTACTCTTCAAAGTGACATTTTTACTCTTTAACACTTGAAAGAGGTCTGTGATAGTTAAGTTTGTGTGTCAACTTGGCTGGGCCTGGTTGAGTGGCTGGGCAGCTGCTGGATATAGTATTGCCCATGATGAGACTAACAATCAGCTCCATGGTGGAATCTACTGTGAGCAGCTGAGTACCTGCCTGAGGGATGTGATCTGCTTCCTGTATATAAGGAGAAGCTTTATGGAATGGTCTCGAGCTTACGGCATGCTTGGACCCTGCATGTAGCCATGTTGTTGTTCAGCAGACTGCCATGCTCTGCCAACCTTGGGACTTACAAGGGACTTGATTAATGGCCTGACATGTGGATTGGTAACATTGGGACTGTGCCATTTTATTTGTTGACTTTGGCCTTGTTAGCCTCAGCAGCCAGTAGTAGCTGCCTGAGTTAAGAGATGCCTCTAGTTTCAGTGGGCTGGGAGCAAGAGGCAGAGCTGAAGCCCAAGGTCAAGGGGCTTTCACACAGCCCCTAGAGCCTGGCACTTTGAACTTGGACTTAAAGCCTCCAGACTGTGAGAGAATAAACTCCTGTTTGTTAAGGCCATCCACATTTGTGGTATATTCTTGTCAAAGCGGCACTAGGTAACCAGAACAAGGTGTTTTGCAGCAGATTTGCCCAATGCAAAATGTCCTTTGATCTCTCTACTACTATTTCCATGGGCAGAGGGGACCATTCCCTGGAGAAGGATGTCATGCTTGGTAAGGTGGGGGGTCGACGAAAGAGGGGAAGGCCTTCGAACAAGAGGGATTGACACAGTGGCTGCGACAATGGGCTCAAGTATAGCAAGGATCATGGAGCTGGCGAGGGATCGGGCGGTGTTTCGTTCTGCTGTGCATGGGGTTCTATGAGTCAGAAGCAACTCGACGGCACCTGACAACAACAACAACATTTCCATGGGCATTGATTATGGACCCATGTAAAGTGAAATCCTTGACAACTTCAATCTTGTCTCCATTTATCTTGATGTTGCTTATTGGTCCAGTTGTGAGTTTTGTTTTCTTTATGTTGAGATGTAATCCATACTGAAGCCTGTCGTTTTTGGTCTTTATCAGTAAGTGGTTCATGTCCTCTTCACTTTCAGCAAGCAAGGTTGTGTCATCTGCATATTTCAGGCTGTTAATGAATCTTCCTCGCATGTTAATGCCACATTCTTATGCATAGAGTTCAGCTTCTTGAATAATTTACTCAGCATACAGATTGAATAAGCATGGTGAAAGAATACAGTCCTGAAGCACACCTTTTGGATTTTATACCATGCAGTATCCTCTTGTTCTGTTTGAACAACTGACTATGTCTTGGTCTTTGTATAGATCCCTCAGGAGGATAATTAAATGTCCTAGAATTCCCATTCTTTTCATTGTTATCCATAATTTGTTATGATCCACATAGTCAAATGTCTTTGCAAAGTCAAATACAGGTAAATATGTTTCTGATATTTTCTGCCTTTAGTCATGATTCATCTGATATTAGCAGTACTATCCATCATTCCATGTCCTCTTCTGAATCTGGATTCAATATTTGGCAGTACCCTGTCTATGTACTGCTCTAACCTTTTTTGAATTATTTTCAGCAAAACTTCACTGTGTGAAAGCCCCTTGACCTTGGGCTTCAGCTCTGCCTCTTGCTCCCAGCCCACTGAAACTAGAGGCATCTCTTAACTCAGGCAGCTACTACTGGCTGCTGAGGCTAACAAGGCCAAAGTCAACAAATAAAATGGCACAGTCCCAATGTTACCATATCTTAATACCTTTTAATTACCATATCTTAATACCTTTTAATTACTTTGTAAATTATAGAAGCTCAGTTTTTAAATTTTTACATTTTAGAAGCAACTAGCATTATTTTACAATTATGATAATTGGAGAAAATACTGAAGTTGTCAAAGATTTCATTTTATTTGGATCTACAATCAATGCCATGGAAACAGTAGTCAGGAAATAAAATGACATTTTTCATTGGGCACATCTGCTACCAAAGATCTCTTTTAAAGTGTTAAAAAGCAAAGATGTCACATTGAAGACTGAGGTGTGGTGACTCAAGCCATAGTATTTTCAGTTGCCTCTTTATGAATGTCAAAAATGAACACTGAATTAGGAAGACCAAAGAAGGTTAATGCATTTGAATTATGGTGTTGGTGAAGACTGTTCAATATACCATGGACTGGCAGAAGAATGAACAAGTTTCTCTTGGAAGAAATTCAGCCAGAATGTTCCTTAGAAGTGAAGATGTCAAGGTTTCATTTCATATACTTTGGACATGTTTTCAGGAGGGGCTGGTCCCTGGAGAAGGACATTGTTGTTCTTGTTGTTGTTAGGTGCCGTCAAGTCTTCTTGGACTCACAGTGAGCCTGTGTACAATAGAATGAAACACTGTCTGGTCCTGCGCCAGCCTCACAATGCTTGCTATACCTGAGCCCATTGTTGCAACCACTGTGTCAATCCATTTCATTGAGGGCCTTCCCCTTTTTCACTTTACCTGTACTTTACCAAGCATGATATCCTTCTCCAGGGAAAGGTCCCTTCTGGCAACATGACAAAAGTAGGTGAGACAGAGTCTGGCCATTCTCACTTCCAAGGAGCATTCTGGCTGCACTTCTTTCAGAACATATTTGTTAGTTTTTCTGGTAGTCCATGGTACTTTCAGTATTCTTTGCCAACACCACAACTCAAAAGCATCAGCTCTTCTTCTGTCTGCCTTATTCATTGTCCAGCTTTCACAAGCATATGAGACAATTAAAAACACCGTGGCTTGGGTTGTGCACATCTTAGTCTTCAAAGAGACATCTTTGCTCTTTAGCACTGTAAAGAGGTCTTTTGCAGTAGATTCACCCAGCTCAATACATCATCTGATTTCTTGACTGCTGCTTCCATTGGTGTTAATTGTAGAACCAAATAATATGAAATCTTTGACGACTTCATTCTTTTCTCCATTTATTGTGATGCTGCTTATTGGTCCACTTGTGAGGGTTTTCGTTTTCTTTATGTTGAAGTATAATCCATACTGTAGACTGTACTCTTTAATCTTCATCCGTAAGTGCTTCAAGTCCTTTTCTCTTTTGAGCAAGCAACGTTTTAACATCTGCATATCACAGGTTGTTATGAGTCTTCTTCCAATCCTGGTGCTGTGTTCCTCTTTATATAGTCCAGCTTTTTGGATTATTTGCTTAGCATACAGATTGAATAAATGTGGTGAAAGGATACAGCCCTGACACACTCCCTTCCTAATTTTAAACCGTGCAATATCCCCTTATTCTGTTTGAATGACAGCCTCTGGGTCTAGGTACAGGTTTTGCATGAGCACAATTACGTGTTCTAGAATTCAAATTCTATGCAATGTTATCCATAATTTGTATGATCCCCATAATCAACTGCCTTTGTGTAGTCAATGAAACACAGATAAACATCTTTCTGGTATTCTTTGCTTTTAGCCAAGATCCATCTGACGTCAGCAATGATATCCCCCATTCCACATCCTCTTCTGAATCCAGCTTGCATTTGTGGAAGTTCCTTGTCAATATAACCTGCAACTGTTTTTGCATTGTCTTCACCAAGATTTTACTTGTATGTGATATCAGCGATATTGTTCAATAATTTCCACATTCTGTTAAATTACTTTTCTTTGAAATGAGTACAAAGATGGATGTCTTCCAGTCATTTGGCCAGGTAGCTGTCTTCTAAATTTCTTGGCAAAGACAACTAAGCACCTCCAGAGCTGCATCCATTTGATGTATCATCTCAATTGGTATTTCATTAATTCCTGAAGTCTTGTTTTTCTCCAGTTCCTTCAGTACAATTTTGACTTCTTCCTTCATTACCATTGGTTCTTTTTTTTTTTTTTTTTTTAATTTTGATTTGGGTGAAAATTTACAGAGCAAATTGACTTTCCATACAGGAATTCATATACACTTTGTCTCACATACAGCAGTTCATATACACTTTGTCTCATGACATTGACTATAAT